CATCTGGTTTGAACTTATTTTCTTTTTTAAAAATATTATTTGGCTGCACCTGGTCTTAGTTGTGGTGCATGTGGGCCCTTCGCTGCCACATGTAGGGTCTTTTAATTGACACATGTGCGGTCTTTTAGTTGTAGCATGTGCGATTTAGTTCCCTGACCAGAGATCAAACCAGCATCCTCTGCATTGGGAGTGCTGAGTCTTAGCCACTGGACCACCAAGGAAGTCTCTATTTTCTTTCTTAAGAGCTTTACACTTTATTTGTTAGGTTTGGCTTCATCATTTAACAAAACATTTTAATATAAAAATCAGGAATAGAATGCAATTCTTGTTAAGGTGATGAGCCTTTCTGTTGTACAGCAGAAACTAACACAACATTGTAAAGCAATTATCCTCCAATTAAAAAAAAAAAAAACCTCAGGGAAGTCAAAAGCGTCAAAAGTTAAACAATGGCTGACCAAAAACTAACACAGTCTCTACTTTCCGTAGGTCAGCACAAAAGATGAGCTCCCTAGGTTCTTCTGATACTAAACAGGAACACAGAAAGAGAAAATTCTGATAAAGAAGCATGAGAAAATAAATCGAAAATAGAAACTGTTTTATTTACATTATTCTATATCTAAGCCTATCCTAAATATTGGGGACAGCTCTTAGTAGAGCAATCTCTTCACACTGATGTATAATACATGACATAAACTCTAGTATGGATAGAAAGCAGTACATGGTTCAAAGGTTCAGCATATAGTTAAGAGATCCTAATTTCTAAACTAAACTGAAACACAGATCATTCAATCATTTATGCATTCAACTTATATTCACTCAGCTCTAGAGGTACGAGTCATGTTTCCATGGTTGTCAAGGTATAGAAACAGAAATAAGATCCAAGAAATCTGGAGAGATTTCTGTTCAGGTTAAGGTAAGAGTAATTTTTAGTCATCCAATCTATTTTTCTTTCAGTACCACACTGTCATATTTGAGCCAAAAAGGAATCATCTGGGGTGAAATAGAGAAATATAATTTCCTACAGCAATCTCCATGATAGAACTTACTGCTGTAATTATTTTTACTAGAAAAAAATAACATACCATTATGCAGTTTTTCACATAAGAAAATTCAGTCAAATCTCTATCATACATATACAATAGCATAAATTTATTAGAGTAACTTCCACTTTTTATGTCTGCAAACAGAAAAACTCTACTAAGTGATTCAAAGTCACCACTTATTATCCATCAAAACGGACATGGTTGGACTGTTTATAACTATGTCTCCAAACATAATTAGATGCTTTATTTTCTATTTATTCTCGTCCTCAAATCACTACCAAAAGTGAATACCAAAACTTAAATAAAGTTAAACCAAAGCCATCAAAACAGACAAATAGAAGACAGAAGAAAATAAACTAGGGAGCGCACCAAATTATGTGAAAATTTATGCAAATAAAAAGTATATTTACAGAAGTATATTGCAAAATTTAATCTTGCAATATATTTAAAATATATAACATTCTGATTACAGTTATTATTTAGGAGAAAAAAAGAAGTTGAAAAGAAGTTGTCCTCCACTGCAGTAGCAAAACAGGAGGGAGTCAACCAAAAGAATTTTTCTCATTAAAGAAAAGGAAATAAACAAGGCACACTTCTTCCCTTTGGACAAAACAGATACTATAAAAAGCAGCTGATAATTCAATCATTTACTAAGTATTCATCCAAAGCAGCAAATATCAACGTGGACAAAGGGAAGGGAGTTGTGGTTTTCAAGTTACACAAGCCTCCTCCCAACTCTTTATTGGAATTCCTCAACAACTTCCAATAATTCTGTTCTTGTTGAGAATCACTGGAAGTGAAAGCCACTGTTAGGATGAACATGTACTAAATTTCTTTAGTCTGCTGGGACAGAAAAAAGATGCAAATCACTGAACTAGAGTATCTATTTTCTCACTACAAAAGTATATTTTCATACCATGTAATTGTGGGTTCTAACCACTCCTGCTCCAAAAAAGTGGTGTCAAAACCTCTTTTTGCAAGTAAGTGAAAATTATAACCGTTATTATCAGTCACAAAATAGAAGGGCAGACAAGTCTGCTGTTTGATTACAGTCTTTTACTCTGCTAAAATTTGGCCACCCTGAAACCCTTGAGACCCAAGTTATTCTGGACAACTAAATACAGCATACTGCTGATGGTTTACCTTATAAATTACCAATTTTTCTTTTATAATTTGTGGTGATATTCTTTGAAATATATCATCTTCTTTGTTTAAGATTACATAATCACTAGAAAAACTTCAATAATTTAAAAGTACAAGTAACAAGTATAAGTTCTGTCCCTTCCCATCCCCTACTCTCACTCCCCGGGGGTAACCAGGATAAAACAATTTGGGGTATATCCTATTTAGATCTCTTCAGAATACACACAAATTTTACACATAGCTATATATGCAATCTCAAGTAAGCAAGGACCTCTTGCTGTACCTTCAGTTCTACAACTTGCTTATCACACTGACAGACTGAACAGCCTTTTAAGTTTAATATGCTGCGAGGAAACCAGATCTGAAAGAGACATGTGCACCCCAATGTTCATCGCAGCACTGTTTATAATAGCCAGGACATGGAAGCAACCTAGATGCCCATCAGCAGATGAATGGATGAGGAAGCTGTGGTACATATACACCATGGAATATTACTCAGCCATTAAAAAGAATTCATTTGAATCAGTTCCAATGAGATGGATGAAACTGGAGTCCATTATACAGAGCGAAGTAAGCGAAAAAGATAAAGACCGTTACAGTATACTAACACATATTATGGAATTTAGAAAGATGGTAATGATAACCCTATATGCAAAACAGAAAAAGAGACACAGATGTATAGAACAGACTTGTGGACTCTGGGAGAAGGCGAGGGTGGGATGTTTCAAGAGAACAGCATCGAAACATGTATATTATCTAGGGTGAAACAGATCACCAGCCCAGGTTGGGTGCATGAGACAAGTGCTCGGGCCTGGTGCACTGGGAAGACCCAGAGGGATTGGGTGGAGAGGGAGGTGGGAGGGGACCGGGATGGGGAATACATGTAAATCCATGGCTAATTCATTTCAATGTATGACAAAAACCACTGCAATGATGTAAAGTAATTAGCCTCCAACTAATAAAAATAAATGGGAAAAAAAAAAGTTTAATATGCTGCTATATCTGACTTGTTTAAATTGTATACTCCACAGTATTTTTCATCATTTTCTTACTGACAGGTACCTTTAAGCTGGAAACATTTTATCTTGTTTTTTGCAATATTTTAATCTTTGTTATTTGTCACTTCACACTGCCATCACATCACTGTATTATTGTCTGTAGCATTTCTTCTCTTCACTTTTACTGGCATACTTAAAAACCAGAAAACAATGTGCTAGAGTTGAGATCAAATTAAAAATTAAATGAGGGAAATTTTTCATTGTTCACACATGAATACATTCTTTTTACTGCTATTTTAACTTTTCAGAGGTCCTTTAATGCTTCCTGATTCTTGTACAGTAAAGTTCCCAAGCCAAAACCTTTGGGCAGGTAAAATATCATCACAATTATTATTAACATACTTGCTTGCTTTTATTTCCATATGGAAATTACTTTGTTTTAAAAAAAATAGGACGCAAAAAAAATAATAAAAATTAAAAAACAGGACGCAAATTTATCAAGAAATTAGCATGATGCTACAATTTTAACAAATGTCAAAATAGAAGTATGTATATCATTATAAGCAACCTACTCATCATACTAGTCTATCTCATGGCCACAACCAGTCAGTTCCTTGAATAAACTGCTACAAACGGTGGGCATATGCAGATTATCACTCAAAATCTCCCTTCCTTCTGTGATCCACTACCTTATATTTCTTTTGGGCAATTAATTAGCTATAAATCAATCTAACATTCTCATTTCAGTGAACTGTTCAGGATAAACATATAATCTAACCAGGGTCAGCAAAAGGAGACTTTTGCTGGGATTTCTGGAGGAAAGAAGCTGATACAGGCTTGCACTCTGCTCTCCTTCCATCCCCTCCCTCTCTCCTTTCTTTCTTCTCCCTTTCCATTCCTATCTCCTCCCCTCAAATGCACAACAAAGATCATCATTCTTCCCCAGGATGTGGGAGTATGAAGATATGAAATCTAGAGCTACCGGGTAAAAAGGATGGTACTGAATAAAACTTGATGATAAAGGCAACAATGGGAAGAAGAGCCAAGAAACAGGAGCCTGAACACATCTGACCCACAAATCAAATTATGCTTGGACTCTTAACTCATGTGTGCCTTGTGGGCTGGATTTTTCTGTCACTATACAACATAAAGAATCCTAATTCCTTTACCTAGAACTTTACATTGTTTTCTAGTCTTCAGGCTTCAAACACTATTTTTATTGAGTAAGTTGCAGCAAAACTATTTATCAGGTTGTGGTCCAACAATGATTTTCTGCTTGAATAAAATCTTAAGGTAAGTTCCATTTGTTTTAAGATTAAAATTTTCCCTTTAAAATTTTTATCTCCTAACACATATTCCAGAATCTCTTTTATCAGTAATATACATCTACTTTTTGACAGAAAGAAACACAGCTCATCACACTCACTTTCTAAGTCTTAGAAACTATGAAGAAATGAGAAACTGGAGAAATCTTCAATATCTTGAGAGGATTACTAACGCAGAAAGTTCAGGGGAATAAAACTGTAAAGCACAAAATTATTAATATTATCAAGTTATTTCTTTTTCCTGGAATTTTGCTTCCTGATTGTATAATTTTAAGTGTCTTTCTGGAATGAAAGCTGCTCATGATCTAGCCAGCCAATATTCCTTGTGATAATAGACAATGATTTAATTAAACCAGTCACTAAAACAAACTAATTCAACCTAATTCTGATGAAAAACACAGAATTCAACTCCTGGTGTATCACATTTATCTAGAGCTAACTATTTAGACATGTAATTTCATTTCTGAGAACTGAAAAAAAATGTAACTTACCTCAATTGTTTCGCATAGTTCTGTTCAATTTCTATCCTCTCTTTAACAAATTTGGCATATCTTTCCAAGAAGTCAATTCCCCATTGTGTGTGCTTGTCTAAGCTGTCGAACTGATCCTAGAAAAGGAAGATAAAACCACACTGAAAAGTCTGAAATTTTATCCACAAATATTTTAACCAGTTTCTGGTATTTGTCCAGGCAATCACGTATGAAAAGAAAAACTCAGGCTCTTCTTTCTGCTGGTCACCACCAATCTCATCTTTTAAGACCCAGACAGAAATATGTTCTTCAGCATACATCATGCTATTTTTATGCCTAAATATCTTTACACATGTGGTTCCCCCTGGCTGCAACACCCTCCACAGATCATCTTTTTTTTTTTAGATCATCTCTTTGCAATTAACTCTTGCTCCTTTCCTTGAAATCCAGTTCAGACAGAAAATGCCCCTAAAATTTCAGACTTGAGCTAAATGGTCTTTCTCTGGCTCCCCAAGGCTCCCTACAGATCTTATTCACTTGCAACACTATGTTGAGGGCAGGAGCCATGTATTATTCTACTCTGAACTCCTAAGGTACAAATACTATTCCCAGCACCACAGCAGATTCTCAGTGAAGAATTGTTTAAACAGAATCAAATAAACCTGGGTTCAAAATCTGGGCTCTGCATTTACAGTACGTTTTGACCTTGGGCAAGTAACCAAGGCACTTTATACTTTTTCCATAAAACGGGTGTCCCATCACCCATCTCAATAGGACTATGGTCATTCATAAAGTGTTACACAGTACAGGAAACATGCTATTAACACAAGGCTCTTGCAGTCTTCGAAAGATATTCCCATCTACCTGCTGCCTGAAAAAGCATCATTTCCTATTCTTCAAGAATAATTTCCAAATTGGCTAATAAATTGGTGCTCTCTACATCTCCTGTATTAAAGATATTCAGAGATCAAAATGCTAAACATCAATATTCAATATTCAGAACATTCAGCTATCATCCCTTTCTATATCTCTTGTTGCTTTACCTTTCCAAATCACCCATGGTTTAATCACGTGTGTTATTTACAAATAAATCATTTCAAAATATCTGCCTTTTCTTTCCCTACATAAAAAAAAAATTTTTTTTACCACATTAAGTGGCATGAGGGATCTTAGTTCCCTGACCAGGAATCAAACCCACACCCCTGAAGCGTGGAGTCTTAATCACTGGACCACCACAGAAATCCCTTCTTTCCCTACTTTAAACCATTATAAAATTCTATTTATAAAAGTAAAGTCTACCGAAACAGCAGAGACAGAATCCACCCAGCCTTCACAGTCTGGTATTACTACTCTAATCCTATTCTTTCACGCACTTTTCCATTATTATTTGGCTACCAAAGCAGATTCGAAAACAGCAAGAGAATGCACTGCTCAGTAAATTTAACTGGTAGGTTAGTTAATATTTCCCACTATAAATATGAATGCTATTTCAAATTGAAAAACTCCCAATAACAACAACAAAACATTCCAGAAAAAGGAAAGTCCAAAGCTGAAAACAATTACCCTTCATTTTCCAAAGTGTTTTAAGGCTTCTTCCCATCATCCTCTTCATCAAATTCTACATTAAACTTCCTTATCTTCTAGATGAAATCTCCAAAAATGTTTTATTACATACCCCAATCAGTAAAATTTCTGAATATTCCTATATATTATCTATAATTATATATACTATGCTATTATATTACATAATTATGAAGCCCACAAAAATAGAAATTTTAAAAAGAAACAAAAATGAAATAAACATTTTTTTAACCTGTTTATTAACTCACGATGTTTACTGAGCACTTGCCATGTGCCAAGTTCCTCGGGGACAAAGAGGAACACTCAGCCCCAGCCCTGCTGGCCATGAGCATACAGCCCAGCCAGCCAGCAGGCAGGACAGCTCACCTTGCTGGGGGCTCACCTTCCTGTCTTTACAGTGACTTTGTCAATGACGCCCGCGGCTTCCACACAACCTGCCGTGGCAGTCAGTGCCCAGGTCACCACGGGTTTCTGCAGCATAGCTCAACTTAATGATCCCCCCATTAGCTCTATTCTCTTGTCCCTAGTGGAAATAAGCATTATTTTAAATAGTTCTTTTTTTACTTCTTCAATGAAAAAGCAAAAGCCTTGGGGCCATAAGTTTTTAAAATATCAATATGAAACAATTTTAGTAAAAGCAATGAATTCGACATGCTTCATTATTTCTAAAATCTTGGTTTAATATTTAATGGCAAAGCAATCTGAATGCTAGGTTATAAACTCAAACATTTAGACTAAATTTAGTGGCTGTCACAGCTGGGGAAATAAATGAAACCTCACAAAGATATAAAAATATCTAAATGGAAAAAGTCAACTGTTGACTATACTTTCCAATTTCATTTTATGCAAAAATTTGGTTAAATGTCAGCATTATTTTAACAAACTAATCAGAAAATACTCCATCTTTATATTTTTAACAAAGAGTTTCAAACTCCACTGAAAATGACTGTAATATGATTTTGTGTCAATTTAGCTGAACAACAGTGCCCAGATATTCAGTCAAATATTATCTTGGATGTTTCTGTGAAGGTATTTTTGGATAAAATATTAATATGTAAAAAACTGCTTAGTTTGGAATATGTAAAGCACAATACCCTTCATAATGTGGGTGGGCTTCATTCAATCAGTAGAAGGACTTAATAGAACAAAAACTGACCTTCCTTCAAGAAGAAATGCTGCCAGTAGGCTTTCAAGCAGGTTGCAAGCAGACTGCCTTTGGGCTAGAACTGCAGCTCTTCCCTGGCCCTACCTTGCAGTTTGGACTTGCAAACTTCCAAAATCATGTGACCCAACTCCTTATAAATAAATCTCCCTCTTTCCCTCCCACAACACACAGGTCTCCTCCTTCACACTGACTTTAAAACAAGCAATAGATTTGTTTCGAAATGTTTTAAGTGTGCAGATATAATAGTTGTAGGTGACATATATCACTTTCAGCAACAAAATTCTATAATGATAGATGCATTTCCAAACATTCATCATCAAAATGTTTTTTCCATAGCTCAAGTTTCTTTGGAAAAGCAGCTATTCATTCACGATTAAAATTTCCCTTTTATCTTAAAGAAACATTATATTTGCTAGGAAAAGCATATTGCTAACAGCCGCTTATTAAAAGTAAACAAATTAAAAACAACATTGAGTAAAACAGCAAACCTGAGTGAAACAAAGCTTTTCAACAGTCCCTCCCCATTTTATTTGGAAATACTGTAAAAAGTCTATCAACTATATTTCAAAGATATTATTTTTATAAAATTAATCAAAGTAAACATATACTGTAATATTCTGTGGACTTCTCACTTTAATTTCCTTTATTTACCGAGAAATGAAGTGCATAAATTCAACCATATCTCAATATTATTTCTAAAGGAAATTATTACTACAGCACTTTATCGGGGGTTATTACACAGTTTTTTCATAAAACACTATTCTTCCTGTTGAGAATAATCTTCACATCTTTCCTTTTTGTTGTTAACAGCCAAGTCATGTCCAACTCTTTGTGACCTCATGGACTGCAGCATGCCAGGCCTCTCTGTCCCTCACCATCTCAGAGTTTGCCCAAGTTCATATCCACTGAATCGGTGATGCCATCCAACCATCTCATTCTCTGTCGCCCTCTTCTCCTTTCATCCCCAATCTTTCCCAGTTCCAGTGTCAGCTGTTCACATCAGATGGCCAAAGTATTGGAACTTCAACTTTAGCATCAGTCCTTCTAATGAGTATTCAGGGTTGATTTCCTTTAGGATTGACTGGTTTGATCTCCTTGCAGCCCAAGAGTCTCTCAAGAGTATTCTCTAGCACCACAGTTCGAAAGCATCAATTCTTTGGCACTCTGCCTTCTTTATGGTCCAACTTGCACATCCATACACACACAGCCTTGATTATACGAACCTTTGTCATCAAAGTGATGTTTTTGCTTCTTAACACATGGTTTAGGTTTGTCATAGCTTTCCTGCCAAGAAGCAATTGTCTTCTAATTTCATGGCTGCAGTCACCATCCGCAGAGATTTTAGAGCCCAAGAAGAGGAAATCGTCACTGCTTCCACCTTTCCCCCTTCTATTTGCCATGAAGTGTCAGGACCAGATGCCATGATCTTAGTCTTTTAATACTGAGTTTTAAGCTAGTTTTCACCCTCATCAAGAGGTTTAGTTCCTCTTCACTTTCTGCCATTAGAATGCCATCTATTATCTGCATATTTGAGGTTGTTTATATTTCTCCCAGCAATCTTGATTCCAGGTTGTAAGTCACCCAGCTCCGCATTTCGGATGATGTACTCTGCATGTAAGTTAAATAAACAGGGGAGCAGCACACAGCCCTGTCACACTCCTTTCTCAGTTTTGAACCAGTTGTTCCACATAAGGTCGTAACTGTTGCTTCTTGACCTGCATATAGGTTTCTTAGGAGACAGGTAAGATGGTCTGATATTTCTATCTCTTTAATAAGAGTTTTCCACAGTTTGTTATGATCCACACAAAGGTTTTAGGGTAGTCAATGAAACAGAAGTAGATGTTTTCCTGGAATTCCCTTGCTTTCTCTATGATCCAGTGAATGCTATCAATTTGATCTCGGTTCCTCTGCCTTTTCTAAACCCAGCTTGTACATCTGGAAGTTCTTGGTTCACATACTGCTGAAGCCTAGCTTGAACGATTTTGAGTATAACCTTACTAGCATGGGAAATGAGTGCAACAGTCTGACAGTTTGAACATTCTTTAGTACTGCCCTTCTTGGGAACTGAGATGAAGAATGACCTTTTCCAGTCCTGTGGCCACTGCTGGATTTTCCAAATCTGCTGACATATGGACTGCAGCACTTTAATAGCATCATCTTTTAGGATTTTAACCAGTTCTGTTGGAATCCCATCATTTCCACTAGGTTTACTGGCAGCAGTGCTTCCTGCGGTCCACTTGACTTCACACTCCAGGATGCCAGGCTCTAGGTGAGTGACCACACCATCATGGTTATCCACATCATTAAGACCTTTTTTGTACAGTTCTTCCATGTATTCTTGCCATCTCCTCTTGATCTGTTTCTATTAGGTCTTTACTGTTTCCGTCCTTT